GTATCGAAATACATGTTGGTACTGGTATCGATACCAAAATGTTGGTATCGTGACAACACTAAATGGAATGCAGTTACACATTCAGTGAAAGCTGCATCATGAGAAAGTTGCATAACTGAAGTAAAAATTGTTTGATCTCAGAATGGATGTCAAAATAAGTCCTGAGCCATTTCTTGTCTCAGAACAGAAATAAACTCAGTTTTCAGAATTAACAGGCTACACTTGGATGGAACATTTTAACTAAAAGCTGTAGCAGTGAACTTTATTAAGCTTGAATAAAAATAGTCTCACCTCCTGTATTGCTGCCTGGAGACCTCATCTCCACAGAACAGACAGACAGTTGCCAGCAGGGCAGTAGACAGCAGTGACTGACACAGGCTCTGTTCTCTTTGGGTTGACTTCATGAGCACAGTTATCACCTGAAAACACAAACAAATACAAATGGTGAAAAAGTGTTAGTTAATTACAAACCACAGCCAAGCAATAGCACAGTTACTATCATTTAATTCTTCCCTGTCTTTTGGCATAATATTGTCTTGTACAGTACATTAAGAAATCCTAGCAATTTATTTTCTTTAAGGGTTAATGTACAAGAGTAAATTATATATGCTGTATCCACTCTTCTACCTCTTGTGTCCTTTCCTTCAGCACAAACTGTGATGGGGCAAGGCTGATGACAGAGGGCTCCAAAACTGATCGCGTCTGCATATCTGTAAAGGCAACTGCTTTAATGAAGGCTGCTCTGGAGCCTGTGTTCCTCACACACAGACACACTTTACTGATGCGACCAAGGGCAATGTCGGTCAGTGTTGCCACATAGCTGTCGGCCTGTTTCCTCTGGTCCTCCAGGATGATGTTGCTGGTCCCTCCATAGCCTGACAGTGGAATCTTAAAATACCAAACAAAGGATACAACTTTTAATGGAAAATGGACAACATTGCCACAAGATAGTGAAGGAAAGAAGCAGCTTAGAGTGACAATTTAACAGGAAAACTATAACTCCAGACTAAGAGATGAGCAGCGAAAAACGAATGGTCACATCCTCACCGTGAATTTGACCCCTGGCTGTGAAGGGCGGACTCCAGACTGTTTGATCTCTAGCTTGGCCAACATGGAGGCCACCCTGGTGGGAGCGAAGAGCAAGTGCACAGCCACGTCCTCTCTGGGACGGATGGACAGCTCCCCATGGCGTGTTAGACGCTCTTCTGGACTGAACATACTCTGGAGCTTAATGACAAATAAGTTTGAATACTTTATATTAGAACTGTCCCTGGCAGGGGAATTCATTATTAAAAATTCTGAGAGCTCCAAAGTTGCAAAGGTCCAGAAACATGCTAATATTCAACTGGTGTTATGAGTTAGTGCAATAAATAAGATGTATCAATGTCTGTGTGAAGCAAATAACTGACTGTCAAATCAAAATAAAGTATAATGCAATAATAATTTAACAATAATTCTTGCCAGTTTTCACATTGAACTGAGGGGATTACTAACAACTACAAATTTTTTGTATAAAAAATGTAAATAAATGTTCCCATTTACTCCTTTTTGTTAACCCAAAAATGAAAATTCACTCATTATCTACTCACCACTATACCAATGGAGGGGTGGATGAAGACTTTGTGTCCACAAGACACTTTTTTGGATTTCAGGGGTAAATAGCATTGCAGCCAAATCCAATATCAACGTAAAAAAACAACAGAAAAACACTGAAAATACCTCCATACTGCTCCTGTGGTGCCATCCAATTGTTCGTAAGCCCTGACATTTTAAAATGTCTTGAAACTGTTCATTTACACCCAGTTTTTAGAATAAATGTGAAGATGACATTCCTTCAATTGTATTGGATTTGGCTTCTGAAACTCCAAAAGAGTTTTGTGGACTCAAACACTTCACCCATCCCTCCATCAGCAGAGTAGATAACGAGTGGATTCTCATTTTTGGGTGAACTGATGAACTGTAATACCTGCTTTCCTCTTCCTTATTCCCCCTTAGATTCCATCCCCCTTTCCCTGTTCAGTAAGACAAGTGAGATCCAGCTTGTCGTGCCAGAAAATCTGGGCTGTAAAGGTATAATGTTGTTTCACAGTGCTGCTTTTAAATGGCAAATGGTTTGTATTTATATATAGAGCTTTTCTAGTCTTGATGACCACTCAAAGTGATTTACAGTACAGTTTGCCATTCACCCATTCACACACACATTCATACAGTGCATCTATTAGCAGTTCTATGCGGGGCAATTCAAGGTTCAGCATCTTGCCCAAGTACACTTCAGCATGCAGATGGGGAAAACTGGGGTTTGCAAACGCCAACCTTCTGGTTGAAGGACAACCGCTCTACCCTGGTGTGTGTTCTCACTCACTGCTAAACAGAATCCACAGATTTGATTGGCTGAACGGCATCATGTGAGATGATTTACAATGCATCCCGCTGGTCTGCAAGTTTGCTGGGCAGCTAAGCCGGTGCCGTAAAGGCGAGAAAATGTGTTATAATTAAAATAAAAACGCTCAGTCAAAATTCGTGAATCCCAAATTATTTCTCAGTTATAAGGATAGGACAGTGTAACAGTCCGGGTTTTAGTAGATGAGAAAATTCAACTAGGACGTAAACAAGTGGAATGTGAGAATATTCTAAACAAGGCAAAACACAGGCATTCATCAGTTTTCAAATACTCAAATATTAGAGTCTACCTGAAAACAGTCCTGATCTTGACCACGAATGAGCAACCGTAGCTGCTGTGTGACGTTTGTAGAGTTATTCCTTAGAACCAGCTTCTGTTGGCTGAAAAACAATAGCTGCTAGTATTTATTTGATTACAAAGAGTAAGAATTCATATCAGGTAACTGTGAATATTATCTTTGACCACTGAAATGTCCTCACTTCAACCTTTGATCAGTTGTCATTTGGACTGAAAGATGGTGTAGAGATATGAAATTCAAAAGGTCACAAATATGTTTTTTTGAGGCCACTATGACCTTGACCACTGAAATCCAATCAGTTCATCAGTAAATCCAAGTGAACACGTGTGCCAATTCTGAAGAAATTCCCTTGAGATATTGAGACCACAAGGCAAAGCACGTGTATGAGAGGCCACAGTGACCTTTGAGCACCAAAGTGAATTGTGCCGGATGTAATGAAATCCCCTCAGCCAGTCTCAATATACGACAGGAACGCCAGGTCAATGTGACCTTGATCTTTGACATACACGAGAAAGGGATGGACAGATGGACAACCCGAAAACATAATTGCTTCGGCCACTGTCTGTTGCAGAAGCATACAAGTTTGTGTAGAACAGCAACTTAAAAAAGGGATCTGGTGAACCCTTTGAATAATATAGCGACTCTTAAGGAATCAAGGTGACGGCTGCCTGAATCAAAAATTAAATTTCTTTAATGACTATAAACAAACTGTGCATTATATTGAAATAACTGCTGAGGAGTAACATCCTCTATAGACAGCCTATGTCCCTTCCCATGAATAACATTATACAAGCCTTAATAGAATAAGATAATATACATTATCTCAAGGCAGTTTTGTAACCAATGAAAAATGAAACGTTGCTTACACAGCGCGTCCCAGAGTGACGCCTCCCCAAGCTATGAACTGTTTATTAGACAGAATTGGTGGAATGTCTTTGCTCAGACCAGAGCCAAAGGCAGCAGAAGAGGGAACAGCAGCTTTCCCAGAGTCCTCTGGTACAACTTCTCCTTTCAGGGTTACCTCATACTGAGGGCCTGATGGCAACACCAATATGGTGAGGAGGCTGTAACATAACAACAAAGTTTATTCCAATGAGTGAATGACATGTCAACTGAGCATGATACTTTGGTATATTTGACACAATAAAACTGATGGTTCAGGTATGTATTGCAACCACCCGGTTATGGTGTAAACCCCACATTTACACGCTGCTCAATTTTCTAAACCCATTGCCAATTACATATTTGAATCTTTTTTTTTTTAATTAGTGGTTTGAGATTATTATTACCTATTTCATTTTGGTTTATAATGGTGTTGCAGTGACAGGGCATAGAGTGTACAATATGAATGAAATATGTCTAGATCAATTATTAAGTGTACTGTTAACCATTGTGATGTAAACTTGTCAAGCTTCTATTCTTAATTTTGCCGTTTCCTTCAGTGTTAGAATTTCGATAAATGTTGTATCATATAAAGACACAAGATTACAAATAATATGTTTCCTTTTATCCACGAGAACTGCTGTCACAGCAATACTTCTCTATTTGAAGTTTAGAAACATAACATACAGATGATCAAATTATCAGGTTCCTCCTGAATAAATAAAGTCTTATCCTTGTTTCTCAAATGCTTTAACACAGCTATTAAATGGATGAAACTGTCATTTCTTTTTTTTTTTACAGGAATTAATTATTACCCCAGAATATAAACTAAATTAAATTAAGAGCATGGAAATGCTATAACTGTATGCCAACCTTTCTCTGGTTTTCCTGTTTCCCTGTGCTTTGAAGGAAACTGTGACCTCCTGCTCATCTCCTACTCTCAGGAGGAGTTCATCAGGTGTCACAGAGAAACTGCCCTCAGCATCATTACTCTGTACACAGAGGATAAAAGAAAACAATTTGAGGAAATAGAATTGAGAAGAAGACGGCAGGACATAGGACAAAACCAGGAACCGAAGGTTGAATAACCATAGAGCGAAAAAAGCAGTTTTCAGACATGACCTCCAGAAAATTGGGTCACGGTAAATCCTGCAGAAGATCTCCTGCTATGCTGTCACATCAGCTCCTCTGGAGTTTCAACAGAATTTTCCTAGGGGGCCAGGTGGAGAAAGTCTGCAGAATCTCTGAAGGGCTATCACTCAGACTTTTGTGTTCACACAAATAGCCCCGATGGAGAAACTCCAGAGGATCTTCAGAGTTCAGTGCATGTCTGAAATCAGCTTAGGAGTAGAAGGCAGAGGAAATAGATGACAGGTGAAAAGGAATGGAGAAATAGTAAGTGAGAATAGATGAGAAAAGGGTATGATGAAGAAGGAGAAAAAAGAAACACTAGAAACAAAGTTATAAAAAGAGTAAGCAAGAGAGGTGAGTGAAAGAGAACCAAAAAAATGGATAGCACAAAGAAACAGAAGCAATATATCAATGAATTCACACTGCATGTGCCATAGTCTGAGCACAAAATGTAGGAGACTTACCTGAAACCCTAATCTAATAGAAAAGTAAAGGTCAGACCTACCTCGAGTTTCAGCTGCACGTCAATATTTCCAGCATTCTTTAATGGCAGTGTCTGTTTTCGAGATATACCCAGCGGGGCAGAAAGGCTGAGAGTCTAGACAAAAAAGCACAAAACACATCTGGGATATCTGACAACTAGGATGTCATCAGTCAAGAAGTTACACAAGTTAGAAAACAGCAGAACAAAAAAATAAATAAAATGTATAATCCTTAGTAATAGTATCAGCAATGGGGAGCTCTCCATAACTTCAGGTTTAAACTCTCACATTGGAAAACTATAATTTATCATTACAAAAATACAAAATTACTTAAAGAAATTAATTTTATAATTAATTAATTTTACTTTACTGAATGTAATCAATCTATGATCATCAGGATATGTACCACAGTCCTTTGTCATTGTCCTGTTACACCTTAGTGCAGCATTCAACACTATTGATCATCGAACCTTATTACAGAGACTAGAACAGTTAATTGGCATTAAAGGAACCGCCCTAAACTGGTTTAAATCCTATTTTTCAGATTGATTCCAATTTGTGCAAATTAATGATGAGCCATCTATGCGCACCAAAGTTAACCACAGTGTTTCCACAGGGTTCTGATCTCGGTCCAATTTTATCCTCATTTTATATGCTTCAACTAGGAAACATTATCAGGACACCCTCTTTAAATTTCCACTATGTTGATGACACCCAATTATACCTATCAATAAAACCATCAGTTAACTAAACTTCAAGCATGACAAAAAAACCTGGATGACACTCTTTCACTTACATAATATGTCCTGGCTCAAAAAGATGCTGAAAAACTATTCCATGCCTTAGTCACATCCACACTTCATTATTGTAATTCCTTATTATCAGTCTCCAGCATTACGTTGTTTAAGACCCTGCAGCTTGTCAAAAATTGCTGCAGCACGTGTTCTGACAAGAACCAGGAAAATAGATCACATACTGTATCTCCTGTATTAGATTCACTACATTGGCTTTCTGTTAAATCGAGAATAGAATTTAAAATTCTCCTCCTCACCTACAAGGCCCTTAGTAAATGGCACCATCATACCTTTATGAGCTCATAGTAACATATCACCCTACTGCACTCCCAGAATTCAGGCTTACTTCCTAAAGTCTCTAAAAGTAGAGTAGTAGCCAGAGCTTTCAGTTATCAGGCTCCTCTCTTGTGGAATCATCTCCGAGTTTCAGTTCAGGAGGCAGACACCCTCTCTACGTTTAAGAGTAGGCTTAAAACCTTCATGAGAAAGCTTTTAGTTAGAGCTGGTCCAGGCTTGTCTTTGACCTGCTCTTTGATGCTGCTATAGGTCTAGAATGTCAAGGGACACATGGAGCTTTTATTTCCTCTTCTCCCTCCTTATCACATCAAATAAATTAATGTCTCATCAATACATGTTACTGACTTGACTTCTTCCCCGGAGTCCCTGTGCCTTATCGTTTGCAGGTACATTCTTTTTCCCCTATTGAAAGGTTTTTTTAGGTAGTTTTTCATTACTCTTGTTGAGGGTTAAGGGCAGATTATGTCACACCATGTTAAAGCCCAATGAGACAAATTGTGATTTGTGAATATGGGCTATACAAATAAAATTTGATTGATTGATCATAATTTTGAGGAATTTTTTTGATAGTAATTAATAACTCCACCCATGTAGATTGTAGGGTCACCAACTGTCAATAGTGAGAGTTTTAGTGTGACCAGGAGGAAACCGTTTATGTGTGTACTGATTTGGGTGACCCTACACTCCACACCGGTGGAGTTATTAATTATTATCAATAATATCAAATCTTCAAAATTGTGCCTGAATATATTTTTCTCAAGTAAGATTTGTAGTCTGACAAGGAGGAGACCATTTTTTGATGACTGTACAGCTGTGATGCTATTGCTATTGAATAATTTTACAGTATGTGTATTCAGCGTTGCATTTTAAAACGGTCCCTGCCCACTCATCTCACTGCCTGCTGTGCATAAAGGCCAATGGTTTTCCTCCTGATCAGATTTCTTTTCGTCTTGATAAAAATATAATTTTTGATGGTGGTGTACATTATTCTGATTAGAAATAGGCTTTGCTAGTGTTTTAAGGACATTTTGTTTATTAGTTATTGATCTGTTAAGTCAGAATTGGTGAACTAACTCCTGTACTTTCATTTCCACACAGAAACATAATAAGCCGAAATGCACTGAGGGCCTTATCGCAAGACAAACAAAGTGCATTTATGTCCTTCATGTCTTAAATGTAGTGTGCAGAGAAACCTATCAGTCTAAAATAAAAAGTAATTAACAGCTTGACTACCTGTAGGTCTTTAGGAGCATGGACCCTTGCAGTTCCAGACCTGGCGTTGAGGGGAATACTCAAGATAACATAACTTGGACCAGGACAGTCCAATTCAATGTCCACCTGAGCGAGGTACCCCTCAGCCGGACCTAGCTCTCCTGCCAAGCAAAAACAGATGAAGTTCTGATATAATAATAATCTCAATAACTGTTATGTAAATACAAGATCAAATAATTGATAGGTTGTTGTAGGTTCAGTGACCTACTGAATTAAATGCCACTGAGGTAATCAGTCAAGGTTAATTACCTGAAAATGTGTACTTCTGAGGGGCTTTGAAATTTACCCAGACCATGAAGCTTACTGGATTCTTGGGAGACAGATGGACAAGTAATAGTTAGAGTGTTTTCTTCAGTTTATCACACTGAGCAGGTGGGACAGAGAAGAATATATGAATTAATAGGTGTAGCAAGAAAGTGTAAATGACTGAGATTCTGACTTATGTTTCAATGATTGAGTTATCTAACCTCTCCGTAGTTGGAAGACATCACATGATTCATCACAGAGGGAGAAGACATTGGGGTGATGTGTCCCTGTTGTGTTTCTTCGGTCATCAGACCTGGCTGCTTGGAAAGGGTAAAGCATCGGCTTGCTGTAGCTTTCTAGGAGAGAGATGTAGAAAACACTCTGATTTAAAAACACTTTGATAGCATTTTTTTATATTTGCTCTGTCATTAGCTTAGAAGTGGTTTAACTCAGAAGCTTAACCCTCAGACACTGCTTTTAATCATACATTTGTTATAGCCTTCACACAGTAGAATCCATAAAGCTGCCACTTGAGGTCACTGCATTATTGTTATGGATCAGTGTTTGTGCATGTGGTCAAAGAATGTGGAAAAATATGCTGTGGACTCACTGCACTGATTACAAGACGGATGGGCACTCTGGCATGAGTCTTGTTGACAAGTTTGAGAGGAAGAGATTTGGCACTGCCTCCCGGAAGGTCTCCAAAATCCAAATATTTAGTTTCTTCAACCTGAGGATCAAAGCGAATTAGAGAATCCTTCTTTGAGACACACAATGCAACATATTTACTTTCAAGCAGGAACATGTCTGCAAATATGTATTTTATTACCATCTCTGTATGGGAATATTAACCTGTAAGTAGTTTACTTCATTTAATTGATGGTTATTTTTTGTTAAGAATGTAATCCTTACCTCTAGTGCAGGATTCTCTGCTATGGCAATCAGCACCACCCTTTTAGCAAAGATATTAGCCCTGGCAGCCACCTCTGTCTCAGCAGACGCAGGCCAGGAGCAAACATTGAGAACACACTCATAGACACCAGCCTGTGGAGCTATGAACAACACTTTCTGCTCCTCTGGACTCTTTGGCCCAATGATTGTCTTGTTCTTGACTTTGAGCCACTGATAAGGCAAGCTCTCCACCTGTAGGAGTTAACATTGAAGATAGATGAGAATGCGAAAATGCAGCTCAATTAATTTCTTGTGTTATCAGCTCGTTTAAGTAGATATAACTTGGTTAAGGATAATAGGAACTTGTCTTTAATGCTGAACTTTCTTAACGTTTTAAAATTGTGTCCAAATCCCTGACATTGCTAATGTCAATGTCAAATGTATTTATATAGCACATTTAAAACCACTTGGTTGACCAAAGTGCTTCACAAGTACAAGGTACAACAAGAGGACAGTAAAACACAATACATCAGAATAAAATAGAATAAGAGAGAAAGTAGAATGATTAAGAATTTAAATAAAGTAAAATATAAGATACATAATGAGATAAATTAAAGTCAGCTGGGATAAAAACTTACTCAACTCGAGGAGAAGGCCAAGTAGAACAAATATGTTTTTATTAGTGATTTGAAGTGTGAAAGAGAGGGGGCAGATCTAATGTGGAGTGGTAAGTTGTTCCATAAGTCTGGGGTAGCTACTGCAAAGGCACTATCACCTTTGGTTATGCTTTAGGTAGGTCCAGGAGGAGCTGAGTGGCTGATCTCAGCTCCCTAAATGGAGTGTGTGTATGGAGAAGTTCAGCTAAGTAAGGCAGTGCCAGTCCGTTAAGAGATTTAAAAGTTAACAGTAAAATGTTTAAATTGATCCTTTGACGAACAGGAAGCCAGTGGAAGGAATGCAACACAGGTGTGTTATGGTCTCTCTTTTTGTTTTTGGTCAGGATGTGAGCAGCGGCATTTTGTACGAGCTGTAAACGTTTAATGGAGGATTGGTCTAAGCCCACATACAGGGAATTACAGTAGTTGAGAGGTTATGAAGGCATGGATAGCCCTCTTGTGATCCTTTTGTGGGAGATAGGCCTTAACTTTGGCTATGAGTCTTAATTGAAAGAAGCCACACCTGACAACTGAGGAAATTTGCTTGTCAAATAAAAAATAAAAAAACTATCAAAATGGGCACCAAGACTCTTCACGGTGGAGTGAATATTAGGAGCTAATTGTGAAGTACCTAATTAAAGTATTGTCTAGGCACTTTGATACTGCATACAACACGTCACCACTTACAACCCTGTGTTCTCTGCTCACCTTCTCTCCATCAATGGCCAGGCTGGTGACAGTGATTGACACTTGCTGCCATCTCTCCGAGGGGTTGAAGAGGCTGAGGGAGGTCTCTGAGGCAATGCCTACACAGCAGGCATGAGGAAACCGCACTTCCCCTGGTACCACCACTTGGCCTGAGGATACCAGCAGAGTGAGGATGACTGATGCAGGGAAATGCTGCTCCTCCTCAATGCAGAGCAAGGTTATTACTCTTATTAAGAGTGAAGATAATGAGATGCAGAGACTGTTGCCCACATATATCATTAGTTAAAGTACCAAGAATATATACATGACCTAAATTCAGTTTTCAATGTCTTCTCAGATTCTGTAGTATATGTGCAAAATATATTGAAATATGTACAAGAGGGTATTGAATATAAACACTAAAACCATTGCTACCTCTTAGTTCTTCAAGTCCACCTGTCCCCAGTGGCTCCGCATCGTGGTGACTGTAAGGTTTTGCTATTATTCCTATGTCCTGTTGGTTCTGAGGAGGTCTGGGGAGGTGAAGAGAGCCAGCAGCAGCAGAAATTCCCAGAAGCCCTGAGGTTGGATGGATGTGGCTCACTGTTGGATGACTATTGGATGTGCCTGAAAAAAATCAAATAGGAAGCAGAATCTATTAAGTTAGCATATTCAACTAGTATGTTGATTAAGTGGATGTGTTGCATGATTACTTGTATGACAGTTATTGTATTATATGTATTATTTTTCAGACAGAGCATAACGACTTAATTGTATAAACTGGTTTTAAATGCAGATAAGACACAATTCATAGTATTTTCTACCTCCAATACTGGTTGTATTCATCCCACTCTTAAACATGAAATGGTCCCCATATCACTCTAACAGATTCTTACAAAAATCTAGGAATTTGGCTCGATAGGTCACTCTCATTTAAAACACATATTCAACAACTAACCCAGAAATTAAATATCAAACTCAGCTCCCTCTACAGGATTAAAAATTGTCTGTCTCCATCAATCCGAAAAGCTATTGTGCAGTCTAACTTGATTGTGGAGATATTCTATACTGTCACGCAGCCCCCTCAACCCTCCAGCAGTTAAACCCAGTATATCACAGTGCATTACGCTTCATCACAAACAGCAAATTCAGCACACATCATTGCTCTCTGTATGACTTGGTATGATGGGAGAAGAGAGAAGAGACAGTCATCTCATGTAATTTATCTATAAAGTTGTTGTTAAGACTTCTAAATTACCTAAGCTCTCTTCTCTCATTTAAAACCAGTACATACAGCACAATATCCAGTGACTTCCTAACTTTAGACATTCCTCATGTATGCACAAATATTGGCAGAACTGGATTCATTAACTATGCACCTTCTAAATGGAATGATTTAGAAACTTCACACAAATTACATTCTTTTGTTCCCCTTGGGGATTTAAAATCTTTACCATGTGATGTTTTTAATGAATCTGGTTATGGTTTAGTTACATTTATTTAATTGTTATGTTTTGCTGTTAATTGTGAAAAGAGATCTTAAACTCAATGTGACTACCTTATTAAACAAAATTAAAAAAAAATTAAAAGTATAGAAAAGAGACATGCCTGTAGAGGACACACTGTAGAAACCATTTCCAGTTGGTCCCACAGGATAGGCACCAGGATGTAATGGAGCTTCAGATCCCAAATACTGCTGAGCCAGGTGGGAGTTATAGAGTGAACGTCCAGTGAGGAGGGAATGCACATCTCCTTGGTGGGGAAGGTCAATAAAACCAGTGCACTGGGGCTTAAAACTGGGGATGGGCACATAGTGAAATCCCTCTGATGAGTAGGACAGAGGAACGCCAAGGCCACTAGCATACACGGATGACAAAGCTGAGCTAGCAGCTCCCCATTGCTGGGAGCTCTGAGGAGCTGTGATGCTTCTAGTTTGCTGAATGTTCAGATTGCTACAATAGCCTGAGTCCACTTTGGTGAGCTGCCTAACATTTGATTCAGAGAGGTGCCTGTGGGTCCTACAACCTGCTGAAAGATCACTGGTCCCGTCCCTGGCACAGTGGTAGTTACATTCACTCTGACTGCGAGTACAGCTCAGGGCAGAACCACTGCGTGAGGGCTCTTGGCTTTTACATTGCGGTGCTGGTAGAGGGTCCAGACTTTTAGAATGCTGTGGTTGCAGCTGTTCTATGCTTTTAGATGGACAAGGGATATCATGGTTAGACTGTTCATCGGGTCCAATAGGTGGAGTTGGACTGAATCTGATGATGGTGGTGCTCAGTGCCATGGTGCAATTATTCTGTGGAGAGTAAAACAATGAAGACAGGGGCCTTACTTGTAACAGATACAATGGATATTTTCTACCTTGTCCTATATCTTAAAGGTTCAGTGTGTAGAATTCTACTGGTGAAGTTGCATGTTGCAGCTGAATATCCCTCCCCTCACCCCCCCTTCCAAACATGAAAGTGAACCTGTGGCAGCCTTCAGTTGTCATAAAAACTCAAAAGGTGTTTTGTTTGTCCAGTTTGTACAACTGTAAAAAAAATGGGGGCCTCCGTAGTGAGGACCCTTTCCGGATGAGTATAAACGTTCCATTCAAGGTTAAAGCAAACAATAATTTGTACAATTTAGGTTATTACACACTAGTGAAAACATCGTTAGGAATATTTTATTTAAATTTCTGCAAATGAACATAAATCTTACACACTGGACATTTAAAATAATACTACTGCAGAAAGGAAAATTTTCAACACAGATCATAATACTTCCCTTTATTGTTTGTTACCTTTTGTCTCTCAGGAGTTGGTATGACAGTGCCATCATTCATTGAGATGTATGTGAGCCTGCTGAGACTAGGGCTCGAGCAGGTAGACTGAGGAGAGAGGTCATGACCAGGACGTTTGTCTGTCAGACCTCCACTGGAGGAAGAAGGTGACACTATACTGTAAGACAAGACAACATGAAGGCAGAGTAATTATTAATAATGGAACTCAAAATGCAAATGTCCTGCATATGTTACTTATAAGCATTAGCTTAACAGAATAAAACCAGACAACAAAGTCAATATTTAAGAAAGATCTGGAATCTCATTTCTTGTCTAATACTGTAACCAATTAATTTGGGTTTAACTTATTTGAAGATATCCATTTAATAATAAAACTGATATTTAATACAATCTGAAGAAACCATGTGAAACAATACCCATTAGCACTGGGAATGGAGGTCTGACTTGGAGAGGAGTGTGTGAGTGGAGAGGTGGATGGTCTGAAGTTACACTGCATCTCCTCCACACAGGGCTCTGAAAAATCCTTTGGGACTTCTGAGAAAAAAAGTACAACAATATCAATCAACATATGAGTTCACGATGATAATCATGCCAGGCAATACCTGTCAACAATGTACAATATTGCTGCTTACTAACCTGATGCAGGTTCTACTGAGGGCCAGATGTTTTGAGAAGAGGAGCCAGCATGTTTCTCCTCAGAGCTACAAGGTAGTGGAGCTTCCACAGTATTCCTGGATAGTGGTTCCTTCTGCGGAGAATTACTGGGTCTGTCCTGATGCTGCTGGCCTGCAGTCCTCATCCTTTGAGACGGGGGAGAGTAACCTTTACGGTAGGGCAGGCCCGACTGCCCTTTCCTCCATCCTGGTGAGTTTCTAGGCAAGCCAGTTGAGGTAGAAGTGATTGTATCACTCTTTTGTGTTGCAACTAAAGAATACCCAGTATTGATGGGTGCTGGTGGGTTTAGTTCTCCTGGCTTTACTCCATTTTCTGTGGCGGTACTGCCTGTGGATCCACAAGTCTTGGTTGCAGAAGAAATTATTTTATCACAAGGTGTCCTTTTGTTTACAGGAAGCTTGAGCATGGAAGACTGTCCTGATCCCATAGACCTCCTGTCAGAGCTGAAAGATGTGCGGGGACAAGGAAGAGGGCTTCTTTTTGATTTACCTTTATTACCTGGTGATAATAAATTTGAAAGGTAAACTTCAGATGCCTTTTTTTGAGTCTCACTATCCACTGGCTGAAATGAGTTGTTCTGGTCCTCAGGGTATCCTGTTTGAGGGTTCCTACTGAGGTTGTGAGCCCATCTGGTCAGGTCAAAGGTAGTGTGTGCCACAGAGGCATCACCGGTGCAAGAGACATCAGCCATTTTCAGGTACTTCTCCAGGTCAAAGGCACTTGGCTCTCCAACATGGGTGCTTGTCTGCAGTGTGTCACACATGGCACTCTGTTCTGGCTCAGAGAGAATCTATGTAGAGGCAAAGCAGTGTTTTTTATGTTTTACATTCATTTTAAGAGTAACATTTAAAACTGAGGAAATTCTATTTTCAATTTTTGAAACAGATTCTTGATTCATAATAACAGACTTTACTTTAGTCACCACAAGGAGTACATTTTTTTGTCAAGTTGTATACAAGTAAATCATAAAAATTTTTGGGGTTTGTTATGGTGAAACAGTATAGTA